ACGACGCCAGGCCCGGCGAGGAGGGCGCAGGGAGAGGTCACCCAGCTGGCGTGCACACCGATCTTATCTCTGCCCAGGGATGTCCAGCGCTTCCTCCCCGTGCGCCGCCGCAGATGCGGCCGGTGAGGAGCCAGGGCCGGGGGGTCACCAGCGTCCCGTGCCGCATTGCCGTGTCCCTGGGGCAGCTGTGCGAAAGGAGGGGTTGTGCTGCGGGGCGTTTGTGTGTGTCCCCCTCCAGGAAAGCTGAACCAGGCACAGACCCCGCGTGCTTCACCCCACAGCCTGGCTGGGCGTAGGTGCCTTCCCTCTCCGGGGCAGATGCCGGCTGTGAGGAGGAGGAGTGAAGCGGTGCGGCATCGCCCACACGGCCAGGCAGCGGGGCCCCCCCATATCCCTCCTGGTCCAGGCATTTTCGGGTGCTTTGCACCCAGGCATCTGTGGACCCAGGCATTTTTGGGTGCTTTGCACGCTGCTCCATCCCCCCTTGCATCTCTCCTTCCCCTCTCCCTGCTTCACAGTTCTCATCCCTCCTCCTCCAGCAGCCGTACCCTTCCTTTCCCCCTCCGCCACCCTCCTTGGCTCTTCCTTGCACCAGGACGCGGCACCAACGGCAATGCAAGGCAGGGTTTGCAGACGCGCTGCAAGGCAGCGTTTGCACCGCATGCATGCTCTGGGGTCGAAGCGCCCGGCTTTGCTCCGTGGGCAGAGGAGGTCCCAAACTACCCCAGCACAACAGGGACAGCGGCACCGCTCTGATCCCCCGCCCCGCGCTGCCCCTGCGTAAGGAAAGCATCGCGAGCCCACTGCCATCCCGTGCGGAGGAGGGCCACGCTTGGAGCGGTCGCACGGAGCAAGCGTGGAGGGCACGAAGCTCTGCATCTGCCTCCCCCTGGGAGGGTTTGCCCCAGCTCTTAGCATCGTTTCCAGGGCTGGAAAAATCTGAGCTGCCCCCTTTCCCACCCCGCTGCAGCTCATCCCCACCACGTCCCAAATGCCAGCTGGTGGCACCAGGTCCAACCCTGGCTCCAGGCCAGTTCTGGGCCCGCCCAGAGGCCAAGGATGCTGCTGGGGCCACGTGGGAGGCCACGGGGTAGATGCGGCCGGGGAAAGCACCACGTGCTTGGGAGAAGGGCCAGGATCGGCAGCGGGGGGGATGTTCCTGGGGACGTCCCCAGCAGCTGCCCGGTCCAACTGCCCCAAAGGCTGCTCACTTTACCCCACAAGCAGCCGTGGGCCCTGGGCTGGGGGCCCCCAGCTCCCCCCAGCACCCACCTTGCTACTCCTGGGGCAGGGGCAAAGACCCAAAGCCTCCAGTGGCTCAGGGGCTCAGCTCCGGGCAGTGGCACACGGCTGCTCCTCCGGCATGGCGATGCTCTGAGACCCTCCTCGGCTGTATAGCCGGGGCAGGACAGGGGAGAGCGGAGAGGAGGCTCCTTGCAGCCGTACGGGCTCTCCCGTGGACTGGTGCTGATTTGCTCTTGCAAAATATTAAGAGGCTCCGGGAACGTGAAGGAAATTTAGCCTGAAACCTCTGTCGCTCCTGGCTAGCGATTGAAGAATAAGTGAGACAAGATTTTTTTTTCTTTTTTTTTTTTTTTTAAGGCCTTTGTTTTGTTTAGGGTTAACAGCAGATCGGCTTTTTCAAATCACTTCCAGACACACAGAAACCATGGCATGCAATACCCCACCGCTGTGAGGAGGCTGGGAGCGGGGCTCTTGCGCAACCTGGTGCCCCACGTCTTCCGAACGCTGAGGTTCACATTTCAGGCTGGGGTCTCAGGCATGTCCGCAGCCGGAGGGGGCTTGGAGGCAGATACCCGGAGCTGGGGCATCTTTCACACATCAACCCGATTGCCTGGGGGGGTGTCAAGGAGCAGGGAGTGTGCGAGTAGATCTCCTTGCTTGCGAACGGGTCCTGCGGAGTTCATAACTCCTCCGTGCCAAGGGCAGGAAGGACCTTCAGACCACCTAGCCTGGCTCTTGGCACTGCACATCTCTGCTGGACGGCAGCCGAGCGAGCGGAGCAGTGACCTGGCGGCGGGGGGACGCGCTGCTTCTCCACGGCTGCCGATGGCGGGGGGCCG